GCTGCCGCGGCCGCTGCCGCTGCCGCTGTTGATGATGATGATGATGATGATGCTGCTGATGATGATGATGCTGCTGCTGGGAGTGCATTTCCGGACGTGGGCGACTTTGGAACGTTCTGCCATCCGTGAGACGGTGGACACATAGCATCTCATAGCAATGCACAGAGCCCAAGCCTGGAGAAGGAAAGTGTGTGATCCTCAGACGCGTTCAAGTACCACTCAATGATCTCCTGAGCCGAATGGAGTCGACCAGAGTTGTGTTCGAGCATGTTTCAGCCATCTATAGCCATCTCAATCAGTGCTTTTAGCTTGACAGCTTTCCTCAGCGTGAAGCTTCTTCTCGATCGACATGCCTGTGGCACAGTGCAGCACACTTCAAACGATGCTCTCATCCGCACAAACACCGTCTTCGCTCGTAATGTCTGCCGCGTGGCTTGATACGTTGCTCAAGCACCCAAAATGTGTCAGTAGATTCATGGCCTGAAGGGGCTTGAAAGAGTCGACACAAAACACAGACCTGTGCTAAGTTTTTTGAACTGCTGGACTACTGCCAGCCTCGTTCTCATCCAATTCTCCACTGTCATCATCATCGAGCTCTACGAAAGACCTCACCGAGATTACGAAGCCAGCAGCCCTTCAACATGCCCTTCAACATATGCTTCTGCCTCAAAGCAACCAATTTTTGGTGGAGAAAAAAACAACCATGACCACACACCGCACTCCAGCACCCACATCCCCGTCATATCCCCCAACGTCTCCCAACACTCTCCCAATGCTGGCGCTTGCGCTTGACTCAGTAAATCGGCAAGCTTTCTGCCGCTTCTCAGCGATGGCCGGTTCCCGCAGAATGCCCACCATGCCTTCTCTTCCAAAACACGGCTGCATCTACAGTGCAACTACTGTGCAATTATGCTCACCCATGGCAACGCTTGCCGTCCTGCTGGGCTCATCTCTCGGTTCTGCGGCCCGCTAGACCACTCACTTGCAAGCATTCGATCTATAGCCCACACGGTGATTCAGCCACTTTCGCCTACAACCAGGTAGCTTTCCCACCCCGCACGCATCTTCGCTGAACACTGCCACCACATCCGAAAGACTTCAGCGCTTCCCGACTGGGCCGGCGACTCATGAAATCTTATTAGCTGGCTGCGAAACCTGAGTCCACTTGCATTCGGCTGGGATGTGCTTGCATCTCGGCTAGTTGCAGCACGGTAGCTCTTGAAACATGCTGTCCGACAGCTGGTACTCCACCTGCGAAGATCATACACGATGTGCCGCACTACAAGCTCAGTTTGGGCTGGTGAACACTGTTTTGAATGTCTGCACCTGGAGCTTTCGTTCTTGACTTCGTTGAGTCTGCATCATGTACTCCCGGACTGCTGATACCAAGAATTCCACCTCAGCACGGGACTCTGCAAGATCGGGGCAGAGGAACTCTGCTCGACATGCTTGCCTCCGTCAGCCCAATAAGGCCAGTGGCCTTGGCGACCGCACACGAAGCGAATCGAAGCGATGTCTATCAGAAGGCTGTAAGGATGCCCGCCGGATCTGTGCGACAGTCAGACACCATAGCCTTGCCAAGCAAAAGAATAACAGCTCACAACTGTGCCATAGCACGGCCTCAACATTTTGCCGCTCCAAGCTATCCTTGCCGAACGCAAGTTGGAGATCCTGCAACGCGCGAGCAGCATAGCGAAGGGCTGCTACCACACTGCCGTGGATGTGCTTTTGAATTTGGTTCGGCGGAGCATGTTACGGTTGCACCTTGTCTGTGGGAGCAGCAGGAGGCGAAATGCGACTGCAGCAGAAAAAGCCTGCTTACACCCGCCAATACATATCGCTCTGCTAATGATGCTACAGGTCTGAATCACTCCCGTCCTCCAAAAGCTGCATGACTGCATCTGGCTTCAAGCCCCCAGCATCCTGTGCACAAGGCAACGTGCAGGCTGGAAGTGGAAACTCGTTGGATTGCACCCAGCAGCTGGACTTTTGCGAAGCTATGACCTAGGTCACTTTGCACGAATCGGCCTCCTTGTCGGCGTACTTCCAGGCCTGAAATACCTCGGAACCCCAAGAGGTGGTGATCTTGCTTACAACATTGCACGAGAATCGCAGACGTGTTGCAAACAAGCATGAAGGATACAGAGCTTCCGGCAGCAAGCGATCTCGTTGATCTCATTTTGCTGCGGGCCTGCAACACCCCAGCTCCAACAGCAACATCCGTGCGACAGGCATGACCTTGTGTAAATTGCTTGGTCGTACTTGGCCACTCAAGCAGTGCCCTGAGCTGCAATACTATTGAGGAAACGCGCCTCCTCTATGATGGAGCAGAAGTTGTTGAAGCCGATCTGATCTCCCTGTGCAACACACATGAACTGTTCGCAGACCTTCCCGCACAAGAGAACACAACGTGACATCACGGATCTGCCTAGGACTGCGAAACGCAAGCTTAGCAAGGGGATGCAAGCGGGTGCCTCGTACTCACACCTGCCACGGAAGGCATTCCAACATGCGTGGTGGCACATCTACCAAAAGCATTGCAACGAAGACCACTGTACTCCACAACGACAGCCAACCTTGCACAGCTGCTGCAGTCAACTCGTCAACTAAAGAAGCCCAACGTAGAATCATGTAATCAGGTCTGCTTTAAACTTACGGTACAGCCAAAGCGAGCCAGAAGACAGAGCGGTCCAAACATGCCGCGAGATGCAGCACGGATTTCAACGCCAGCTTCTCTGTGCGGCTTGAGGCCTTCCGCCAAATGAAAGCCAGTGGAGTAAGAAGATGTAAGAAGAGTACAGTCGTAAGTTCGTGGAGTTGGCTTATGTTGGCTTGGCTTGGCCGTGCCTTGATCCCGAAATCTGCCAAGGCTTCAATGATGTCGTCTGCATTCCTCGCCCGAGATCATACGAAGGAAACCCACTGCCCGCATCACCGACCATCTAAGCCCAGTGCCACAGGTTGCTGGATTTGGAGTGGAAATAGCGCACGAAGCACTCCTTTGCAGTGATGCGTGCTGAAAGAGTTGCACACAAATTCAAACACCTGGCGAGGAAGCCGGGTGACGGGTAGGCGCGCACTTCGTTTCACTGCAACACTGCCGGCCAATGTTTTGAGGTACTGCGAAATTGCGACATCCATTCCTTATAAGCCCCCACGTCGTTGCAGAATCCAAGCGGCCGACGCGGCAAACATCCTATATTACCCAACCACAAATGACCGAAACTTCTGGGTATTTCTGGGCTTACAGAGACTGGGGCCCACATCATTGCATCGAGGGTGGGGCACATTTCTTTATATGAGTTGGACATTAACACCAGCCAAAACTCCCAAACTCAAGAGATTCGGAAAGATGGTCGCTGAAATGACTGAATATAACAAAGGAAAACCTTACGGGTGACGGGTGAGTCGACAGTCACGAGCGTGCGTGGGGCTGTACGCGGAAGACCGGCGGGTCGAGTCGGGATCTGGAGAGGCTCCGGTTGGTAATCATAGAAAACTTTGGAATCATATTGCCATCAGGACCTCGCAGCTTCGAGCGGGGTTGAGGTCTATTCTGGACACGGGCGTGAACTCAATGCAGGCGACTAAGATTCGTGACTCCACCGTGTGGTCTGCTCTGTTCTGCAACCAACTGGAGACTAGCGGAAAGCTTCGGATGTCCTGCGCCACATCAACCTCGTATCGATTCACCTGCGACGGCAAGACAGGCCAAGCAGCTTCTCTTTCAGAAGCCCTTCACGCGACCCTGTCACGGTAGCCAGCCACGATAGTGCCGTCAGACTGGTCCTTCAACCTGCAACAACATCGTTCGTCGGCAAGGTCTGCTACGAAAGTTAACCATTACTCATTCGTCTCGTGCCATACAACCTTTTCTGTCCCCGCTCCAATCAGACTGCTCTCATGCGAATAAATTCTTCATGGACACCACGTGCCCAGCAGATCTCCACTGTGCCCCAAAGCACGGCGGAGGAAGAACATAAGAATTCAGAATTTATGATGCCAAAGCCAGGCTGCTCAGTCTCTAGGGCAAGGTGAACCCCATGCACGCATTTGCATACTTCCAGCACCTACCAGCGTTAAAGATATCACATTCCAGATTTCACAGGGCAGGCTCGTTCCCAAGAGTCTGCGTCAAAAGTCGAACTTGAAGCTGCCGGCAGCAATGCTCGCAACCTGCCAGGCACAGATTGCATACTTCGCTGCATTGAGCCTCAGCAAGCATGCACTCGGGAAACCTCCTGCTCGGTCAAGAATGAAGACCCCTTCTGCCGCAAGCCACCGACACCTACAAGGGGATCGTTGTCGTCAAGACCACAGCAACATCTTTGGCATCGAACTTTCTGCCTGCAGAGCCCTGCACACGCCGTCGCGGCTGCTGCCTCGACTTGACTTGCTGCTTTTAAACACATGGATAACGGGCCATGACCGATGCCAAAGCAAATCCAAGCACGAGTGGTTTCAAAACATGCTTCCCATTTCTGAGCGGCAGCAGCGAGGCCAGCGGTGCCAGTGATCCAGCGCCGAGCGAGCTCCTAGGGCGCTTCGCCTGGGAGCCGGCTTCTCAGGCAGCCGTAAGTTCAAAGAAACATCTGGGCTACTGGCTGAAGAAGTGATGGCATCCACTGCAGGCAGTGCAGGCGGCGCTGCAGGCACGGCATTCGCCGAGGGCACCGAATCCGCCACCTTCGCCCTGTGAGAAAAGTCTTGACATGAACGGAAAAGGGGCGCAAGCACTTGGAAGCGACAGGCTAGGTTTCTAGCAGAAGCACAAACCCGTCTGAAAACATCACTGCGCCAATGTGCTGAGAGCCGGTGACATGAAGGACAATCTTGAGTTGCAGACCCCACGCCGCTCGCTGGCTGCTTCTCGGCCGCATGCAGGCTTGCTTGGACCTGGAAATTACAAGTTAACACAATGCAGGTCTGCTTGGCTGTCTCTCGTGAAATCAGCCCTGCTGCTTGAGACCAATGTGGGGCGCTCTGTTCGTCGAGTGAGTTGCACTCTTCATGGCTTCATGGTAGACGCAGAGATGCTCAGCTAAAGGGGTGAAGGATCAAAACATCAAGATAGGGAAAAATTGGAAACCCGGAGGTATCAACATATGAAATCTGCATCAAGAACAAATCAACAGCCAGCAACAGCTGAAACCGCAAGGGGCAGTCTAAGAAAAAACATGCTAGTTTGACTTCATCTGGCTTGTCTTGGCTTGGCAAGTCGTGTTCAACAACCATGCACAGTAGACTCAATGCAACAGACATTGTCCCGAGTTAATTCTTTTCCCGAGCCAAGTTTGATGTATTATACACAATGCTCAAGCTGCTGCATCCCACGATGTCGTGTTGAATGAACACAATTTTTTGAGCATGCACCCAAAGAGATGGCAAGGGCATCACCACAGTACTGTTAACATCGGGCCAAATGGCAAGTAATCGAAAAGATCATGATCCCCAAAAGAGTACCAGCTACCAAAACCGCAGCAAACCCCAACAACGGCAAAAAGGACACATGTAATTTTGGTGACTTCCTTGAAATTACAAGTACTGATGAACAAAAGCCGTCTTTGACATTGTGCCCTGTCTCCGCCAATCTCTTGAACTCATGCTGGAGTGCATCACAGCGTCTTCTGCATTGCACACACTTCCCACCTTTCCACACAGTCGAAACATTCTGCCTACATGCGCCTAAAAAAAACTCATCCTTGAACAACTGCCAACCCACCAGCCCAAACCCTAAACTCCTAAACCCTATCCCATTTTACGCCTCGCTGCTG